GCGATGCTCAGGCGCGCGGGTCGAACCGTGGAGCATGCACCACACAACGTCGCCAGCGCTCTGCGATCGACGCCGACGTCCGAAGGCTCCGGGACATGACCAATGGCAACAGTAACGACGCACCCGCATCGGACACCCAGCGCACTCAGGGCCTCGACACAATGGGCAGCCAGCGCCGCCGAGCCCCCTGGCGACGGAGGCATGACGCACGCTGCCGGCCCGTCGCGGAGCGCCATGCCGCCGCGGGCAGCATGCCAAGGCGCCGCGTGGGCTCCCGCGGACGGGGCCGACTACGCCAGCGGAACCTACCTCATCAGACACCAGCTTGGATGTAGACGAAGAGGTCACCTATCAAGCTGCAGAGTCCCAAGGGCCCGCCCCTGTTCCAGATAGATGTTCGGTTTCCTGGGCAGACGAAGTCGGCGAAACACCAGCGGCGCAGACACGGGCGTCGCCAAGCGCACAATATTCGTAGATCTATTAGTTATCAAGAAGCGCAGCAGCACATTCTCCATGAGGGGCAAAGATACGGGCAAAGGCGCCCAGAGGAAAGTTCTCCTCGTGGAACTCTCAAACACAGGAGTACATCAGATATTATTCGGCGGAATTTGCGGCGCCCCAAACTCGGATAGCGGCGCAGTCGGAAGCCGCGATACGCCGGTGGGAGACTTGCAACGGCGCTTCAAAGGACGCCCGGGGAGTTAGCAAACACGAGACAGGAGCATCGTAGGAGTTCCCGCGGAGCCTCGCTGGAGTTCCGGCAAGGCTTTCGGCGCGCGCATGGGGTAAATCGGAAAACGCTTCTCGGGGCGAGCTGCGATTTCTTGCGACTCGCCGCGAGGCTGCTTGACCGGCGCCAGAAGGAGCTGCTGGGCCACCCCGCGCCGCCAGCTTCCAATCTAGAACCCTTGTCTCGAGCTATCTGGGAGAAGGCCGGAGCGCGGGCGGGCGCTTTTTCTGGGGAGGGGAAAGGCAGGCGCCGCGATCCCTGAGAGCGCGACGGCACCACCATGACGCGCGGCATCTGTTCGAGCGAATTTCAATTTCGCGCAGACTGCCTTAAGGGCACCTCATCATCGCCACGGGGCAGCGGCAGCGGCGGCCAGTTCGGAGGATGCGCTGACGCTGGACGCGCAGGCGGCGCCCTGGACCGAGGCCCCTTGGCCGGCATCTCAGGAGTTGCCTCGCGGCCACCGAGGGCCCTCCTCGGCCGCGGCCGGGGCCATGCAGCGCGCCAGCGCAGCCAGTCGTCGACGTCTCTTGGCAATTCGCCAGGTCTGTCCGTGGATCGCGACCAGCAGCTGCGCTCGCCGCCGCCCACTGCCGCGCGTGCGCCGACGCACGAGCCGCATGGCAGAGGTTATGCTACAACTCCACTCACGTCTGATCACGCGCCTTGGTTTGGCCCGAGCAAAGCCCGCTGCTGGGGCAGAGTCGAAGATTGCAAGACCCGCGGATGCTCCCGCGACTCTCCTCGGCGAGGTGGCTTTGTCAGCTTCGCCAAGTGACCAGCGCGCCCAACCCCAGACAGTTCGTCGGCCCGACAATCCCGACTCGGATGGGACACATCAAATTCATGCCATATGTGCAAGGCAAAGAAGCCCACTCACTGGAGCGCGCGACAGTGACATCGGCGATCCAGACCCCGGGCCACTAGGCGAGGACGAATACCGACGCCAGCAACGACGCGGACGAGGATCATTGGGCCCTATACCACGTCAGCGAGAGCACCGCGACACAGGTCCACGCGCTGCCGCGCGCATCCATTTTCGCGCCGGCCAAGACCTCTGGCCCAGGAGCCGTTCACATTTTTGCAGATGGTAGAACGACCTACGCCAGTCCGGAGTATGAGACAGACTGCCCTGCCACTGGCGCGTCGAATAAGAGACAGAGACCCGCGGCGCACGAAGTCCGGTCCTACGAAACGACAGGAATAACCACGTTCCACGCCATCAAGCCACCACCGACGAGGCAGCACGGGCGATTGAACGCAAGAACAAAGGTCATGCGCCAGGCAAGCGCCAAGAGAAAGCGGAAGACGTCTTCGACGTCATCGGCGACGACTTGTCGGGGCATGGCACGGAGGACAGCTTTCTAGACTGCTCATGGACGCCCCATCGACGGCGCCAGCTCGCTCCCCGCTGGCGAGCACTTGGCGGAGCCATGCGCGGCAGGCACCACTTTTGGTCATCGCGCCGCGCCCGCCGCGCCCGCCCTCCAAGCCACAACCTGCGAGCGCGCCCCAGCCGCCGCCCGAGCCGCGGTGCTCGGGGTGGGCCCATGCGAACAGTGCGGCGGCGAAGACCGCACTTCGCGGATCGCCATCAGACGCCGTCTTGGCACTGGCCAGAACTTCGAGTTGGCTGATGGTTGTGATCTTGGCGGCCCAAAGGTCCAACAGCATGTCCCGCAATGATTCGGGCCCGGCAACGTCCTTGCCGCGGTCATGGCGCTGTCCTGCCGCAGCATTGGCCCCCCCGGAGGTCTCGGCCACTGCGCT